ATTTTCTTTGGCATATTTCCTACACTTGTTTGTTTCCTACTCGCTTCTTGAATTGGTAAGTTCAATGACCTTGCTGCATCTTCCTGATCAGTTTCGCTGAGTTCCGCTTGTCCCCCACTCGTTTCTGCTATTGATGCATCTGGTGGTTCAATCCGTCCACCACACACTCTTAACATTGTTAAATCCAGCGGTTCTGTTTGTGGTCCCTCAAACATATGAAATTATGAAACTTATGCTGCGCAAAAATCTTAATATATTTCAGCTCTACTTCTTCTACTTTAAATGAACTTACGATAGCTTGAGTGTTGCAGAGCTGGAAAAGGAAGAAGATAAAAGAGTTGAAATGCATATTGATAAGAGTAATATCTTGCCAATTCTGAAAAATATTCAAATTTAGCAGTGCACTAAAGAACGGTTGCATATAAGAAACAACACCGCCTGCTGTTTGACAATTATGCAAAACAAGTATATACTTTTCTAAATATATTAGCATTGAAAAGAGATCGGTACGCATTCATTGCGGGTATAATACAAACATCTTCCATTCAAGAATCTGACACAACAACCTTTTCATATTGGACATTGACGTAAGTTTTTCAATGCAGATTTCATGGAAGCTTACATAGTTACAAATTTGATAAAAAGATAATTCTGTTTAAAAAAGAGAGAGTGCTTATCTTGGTGACTTGCAATTGTAGGAAGCAAAACTTCGAGAAACAGCCGACATTTTCTATCGAAATACATGAAATAGAACTTACTAAATGAAATTTCACGGAAGATAGTTTGACAACACCACCCGATCACTTCTGTTAGGTAATGGTAGGAGATGGGGTCTATAAATATCAATTTTGATGGGAGTGGCTAGCACGTGTATTGATAACCTATGGTAGTGTAATAATAGAAATCATTTTTAATCCTTTATACTTTGGCTGCCATACTGCATTGTGAGAAAATTATTTATGCAAAGCTGTTGCAAAATTTTTCACAATTTTATTACATTTCGCTTCAACTCTTTTTTCCGGAAACTAATATTGGCAAAATTTTCCAGAAATGCCAGTCACATTGATTTGTCAATGAAAATCTGAACTGAACTTATGGATACTATAATAAACTGCAAAATTTAAATATTTGCTCATTGTTTGACATTGATTTATCAAAATTAAAGTATTACATGTTTTTGTCATTAAATACATCAATCATTATAGCAATATGTAATACTTCAATTATCGCAAATTAACATCGAAAATGGGATAGAAAAATTCCAACCAATATCCAGTTGTTATGTTTTGATTCGTTCCAACTTCCCGTGACGTAATATGTTTTATGTTACATTACAGATCATACAATAATAATAGAATTTGATAACATCACTGCATCATTTCTAATTTATTTTAGAGAAACCGATGAATATGATGCCGCAAACAATATACTGTCCAAATTGTAAAGAAGACTGAATTCTTGGTGAAACACATTGCTATCATTTAGTTACTTACATATCAATGTTCAATTCAGACTTTGAGGTAGATCATGACTGTTTCAATGTAATTAGCGTTCTTAAAATTAAGACGAGATATTTAGCTGAAAAGTGTCCATAAAGTCAATTTTTTTAAATATTTTTCATATTACCAATATGAAACCTCATATTTGCTGAGAAATGTTCGAAATGCAAATCACGTTCTGTTAGGTCTAGAATGAATTTTTACCATACGCACTTCTGTTAAATTTTGGTGGAATAAAATTCTACCTTATACCACCCAAGCTGCAATATACCACCCAATCACTTCTGTTGGTATTAATGCTAATTTTGTTTGGGGTGGATAGCTGCTTACGTGTAGTGAGTTGTATAGTGATGTAACAATAGCAACCATTGTTTAATCTTCTTTGATGAATAATTTTATTTTAGTTGCCATATTATATTGTGAAAAATAATTAATTTACGAAAGAATAATTAATCTGTGGAAATTTAATTTATTATCTTTCGTAACATTTTTTGCTTAGTTTTATATCCTTTCACTTTAACTTTTCCAAACATTGAAAACTGAGGAGATATTGACATGGGAAGAACTGCATTGCTTCATCACTTGTAATTAATGCTTTTAATAAATATATACTGAATAATACCATGAAATCTTTCCTTCGAACTCCACATCTATCCCAACGCTTGGTTTTGAAATTTGTTGTGAGTGTTCGTGTGTGTGTGTGTGTGTGTGTGTGTGTGTGTGTGTGTGTGTGTGTGTGTATGTGTGTGTGTGTGTGTGT